CCTCGTAGTGTAACCGGAACAATCTGGAACTGAACACACTCAAAACCATAGAAATGGTGGTAGACTTTAGGAGAAACCCTCCCATACTACCACCTCTTACAATACTAGGCAACACAGTATCAACAGTAGAGATCTTCAAATTTCTAGGTTCTATCATATCACAAGACCTAAAATGGACACCTAACATCAAAAATGTCATCAAAAAAGCACAACAAAGAATGTTCTTTCCGCGCCAACTCAGAAAGCTCAAACTGCCCAAGGAGCTGCTGATCCAGTTCTACAGAGGAATTATTGAGTCTGTCATCTGCACTTCTATAACTGTCTGGTTTGGTTCTGCAACCCAACAAGACAGACACAGACTTCAGAGAGTAATTAGGACTGCAGAAAAACAATTACTACCCACCTACCTTCAATTGAGGACCTGTATACTGCACAAGTCAAAAAGAGGGCTATGAAATTATTTACAGACCCCTCACATCCTGGACATAAACTAACAACACTATAGAGCATTGCACACCAGAACAACTAGACACAAGGACAGTTTTTTCCTGAACGCCATCACTCTACTAAACAAATAATTCCCTCAACACTGTCCAACTATCTACAAAGTCTGCATTACTATTACCATTACTATTAATCTTCTCATCACTCCTTATCACCCATCCCTCCCACTTGTGACTGTATGACTGTAACTTTGTCGCTTGTATCCTAACAATTTTTATTGACTGTTTCCTAGTATGATTTGATTGCTTATTGTACCCTATGACTATTATTAAGTGTTGTACCTTATGATTCTTGACTCTTGACGAATGTATCTTTTCTTTTATGAGCTTATGACCAAGACAAATTCCTTGTGTCCAATCACACTTGACCAATAAATAATTATATTCTATTCCATTCTACATTTTTAAAACCTTTTCAGATCAGGCTGTTTTTGCCTCTTCCTCCGATGCTATTCTGGGCAAGTATAACAGAACCTTTACTGACATACATAAGTAGTGGACAAACTACTCAAAGACCTAGTCATCACTGTCATATAGTTATGTAAACTTTAATCTAGGAGTGGTTATGGGGATAACAGAACACCGTGTCATTCTCCTTTTTAGCTAGAATAGAACTAAGCACAATAAAACTAAGTGATCTGCAGATAGTTTTTACATTATGATTTGCCAGAAATCCTGTCCTAATCAGTAGAACATCCAAATGTAAGTAGAGATTATTTTGGCTATTCTAAATCAAAAGTATATTTATATAATGCCCTTTACAGAAGAAAGTTCCTTTGAAATTGAAGAAGATGGTAACACATGTGCCCAGCAGCAGTAACACAGTTTATTAAAAAGAAACTTGATTTGCACCTGCAGATGTTTCTTTACAATTATTCCTTAACTTTTTCCTCAGGAGGGTAATCTTTAAGCACTGATTAATATAGTATATGTGTGTTAGTTGGCAATAATGTTGGTGTACCTATTTTTATCAATAGCTGCACAAAAAAGTGATTTTGAGTTTTGTCCAAACCAGTCCCTTAGATTTTGAAACTATTGCCTAGCGTGTACAAATGAAATGTGCTTCTCCTGTGAATTAAGACAGCCAAGCTGCTCTATGAGAAGAACAGATCCAAAATCCAATTCTACAATATCATGATTAGCACCAACTACAATAAAAGGTCAGATCAGAACGTGTGCAAACTTTTCTATTTTCTGGGCATAACAGGTTAACAGGCTAAAAGGGGATAACGTAGGGAAATGTACTGTTTCCATCCAAGTACATTCCTGTGTCACCTGAAGGCAAGATCTTACTGACAGCTGAGATTATTTGGGGACTCAATCAGTTTCATCATCCCAGGGTGATGCTAAGAGTAATCTAATATCTTGTGACAAACCATCATAATTTGGGGGATATTTTTTTTCTCTTTTCCTTCACCACCTCCTGATTTTAAAGAATCTGAGAGGATGCTGACTCATTGCTGTGGCATTTAACTGACCCTGTTAAAAATGTAGACAATATTTAAATTTTGATCTTTTAAATTTTATATCAAAAGTTGACAAAGATTTGAGGGACGTATAATATGGAATGTTGAAGATGTTTTTGTGCATTTTCTCCTGTTCCCTATTCTGCAAGAAACCTAATAGTTAAGAAACAATTAACAATTAACTTTTTTTTATCCTGCTATCCCAATCATTTTACATTATCTGAAACAAAAATGAATCTATTGCCCTGTGGTTGCATTAGACTTACTTCCACTATCCTTAGCTTACAGTTGGAGGGAAGGGAAGGGAGAATTGCAAGAAATAAAAAAAAAATATATGGGGAGGCATAAAAAAAGAAGAGCCACTTACCCTTTGCTGAATGAATTTGCTTCTAGCCAAACTCTGACTTCCATAGCATTGGATTCAAAGGTTAAGGGAACATGAACCTGCTGGGTCTTCTCTACTTTAAAATTCCTTTGAGGTTGCTGGATTTTAATATTTGTGATCTTTTTCAGCAATTCATCATTGACCTCGTCCATGTGATGGATCAATTCTAAAAAAAGAAACGGAGGAAAAATTATGCAAGTTCAGAACAGACATCAGGCCTATCAATCTTTTAAAGCAATTCTTTGTTGCAGAAAGTCTTTCCATCAATTATTTGATTGTATTTAAGCTACATATAAGTGCACATTTAAAGATGTCCATCTCCAGCTACAGGTAGTCTTCAACTTACAACCATTCTTTTAGTAACTGTTCACAGTTACAACAGCACTGAAAAAAGTGACTTATATGATTGTTTTTCACTCTTATGAGCTGAGGTGGCGCAGTGGTTAGAGTGCAGTACTGCAGGCTACTTCTGCTGACTGCCGGCTGCTGCAATTTGGCAGTTCAAATCCCACCAGGCTCAAGATTGACTCAGCCTTCCATCCTTCCGAATGTGGTAAAATGAGGACCAAGATTGTTGGGGACAATATGCTGACTCTGTAAACCGCTTAGAGAGGCCTGTAAAGCACTGTGAAGCGGTATATAAGTCTAAGTGCTATTGCTATTGCTATTATGACCATCGTCAGGGTCATTTGATCAACATTCAAACTCTGGACAACTTGCATGTATTTATGTCGGTGTCACTGTCCCAGGGGCACATGATCACCTTCTGTGACTTTCTGACCAGCAAAGTCAATGAGGAGCCAGATTCATTTAACACCCGACTTAGCAACTGCACTGATTCACTTGATAACTGTGGCAAGAAAGGTCGTAAAATGGGGAAAACTTCCTTAACAACTGTCTCACTTAGCAACAATGAATTTGAGGCTCAGATGTGGTTGTAAGTTGCGGGCAAAGCTCAACATTTTCTTCCAAAGAGAAGTGTGCTCTTAAGTCTCTTCCATGCAAGTTGCATTTCCCCCAAAGCCTTTAAAGTTAATTCTCAACCACTGAATCTAAAAACCATCAAATTGAAATCTTATTTTATACTTATTTATTTGGGAGTAAGCCTTCAAAATAATTGGAATATATTTCCAAGTAGACATGCAGTACATTGAACTGTATTCCAGATGCATTAAATTTGCAAGCCTACTATTGAAAACATTAAAATATGAGAGAGAAACAGATGAACACTCCTACCTACCTTGGGGACAAGCAACTACAGTGTAAGGATAATTTAAAGCAAAAGATAATACCAAGAGTATTACAAGGATTGTCCACCAGTGAAATGCTATGAGATCATTTCAAGGCAGATATGAGATTGAGATGGCTTCTTGAGATAGCTTTATTATTTATAGAGTTACATTTGCCTTCTTGAAACAATTACAAAAGGGTCAAACCTTCCAATACATAATTTAATTTCTATAAAAGTATGATAATCAGGGGTGGGATTCTACCAGTTCGCACTTATTCGCTAGAACTGGTTGTTAACATTCTAAGCAGTTCGGAGAACCAGTTGTTAGAATAAATTACTGGCCTAATCCTGTAAGGAAGGCAGGAAGGAAACATTCTGGTGTTTCTTACAGAAACTGCCTCTCCTCACCTTATTACATTCTTGGCAGGACTAGACTTCCTGTCTCTGGAACTTCTCTGGAGTTTTTTCCCCCTCCTTTGCTGGCATTTTGCTTGTGTGGAGTGACCATTCAAAGTTACAATGGCACTGAAAAAAGTGACTTGTGACCATTTTTCATACTTATGACTGTTGCAGCATCCCCACAGTCATGAGAGGCCAGGCGAGGAGACACATGCCTTGATGTGAATGATATTGAGTTGGCCATGCCCAGCCAATAACATGACCACCAAGTCATGTCCACCCAGTCACATGACCACCAAGCCACGCCCACCACCTAAGCCACGCCCACAGAACCAGTTGTTAAAATTTTTAATCCCACCCCTGATGATAATGGCTTTTTTAAACTTGCATATTGTAACCCAATTACACATTTAAGATTAATTCTTAGTTCAAAGGTTCTTGGTACTGACTTTTCAACTGATCTGAGTTGAAAGATCTGAAAATTTTGGCCAGTATTAATAATGTACCTTTCTTTTAATATATTAAATACGTTGGTTTAGATTGCATGGATACTTACGTCCTTTGGCTTCTGAAGAACTGTGGGCTGCCATTTCACTTCCCCATTTGTCGCCAGCATAACTAGGAGGTAACTTATGGGAGGGGCTGGAAGATCCAGATGCTCGTGGACTCAAGTCTCGGTATTTCTGATTACTCTGTAAAATGTCCAATGATTGTTTTTGTGATTATTCAGTGTAAAATCATATTTCTATTATCCTTCATTCCTTATTGCTTGATAAGAAAGTATAACCATTTAACTGAGGTAAATCCTTGATTTATTGTCCACTTACAAAATTCCTACCATTGTTCTGATGTTATTATGAGATAATTTCAACCTTCAGCTGCTTAGGACATCTGCTTTTACTGGCATTTAGCTGAGATGCTGATATGCTGGAACATTATGATGGACAATAATATCTATCTATATAGACAGATATCTCTGTGGATTACAGAACAGAGACTTTGATTCTCTAAGGAAATGTTATCATGAAAGTCCTCCACATAAATGAATACTTCTTTCAGTATTTGTGAGAAGAGTAATATGATTCATTTATTTAATGAATTAATAGTCTGCATCATTATAGTCTATAGAGTGACTAGAGGTGAAGACTATATGGTATAACTATGAGAATAATGGTTATAATTATGATGTAAAATAATATGTATATTCAAAAGAAATTACATTGTATAATTATGAGAAAAATTGTTACAATCAGGGTGTATGTACACTTAAATGAGATTTGGTACACTGGCGTTGCAGAAATGGAAACGTGATGAATAATAAATGAAAATGTATAATAAAAACAATTTTAAAAAAACAGTCTGCATCTTTATTGCATGAAACTTTTTTTTTTTTTGTGCCCAGGTAACACCCTAATTCTTTAGGAATTTTTTTATCCTTTAAAACTACTTTTGTAAAGAATGTGGCAAGTGATTGTTCATACATTCACCAGGAATTGAATAATGTGGTGCAAAAAGATTGCATTTAAATCTTCACTCAGACATGAAGGTTAGAAGGTCAATTTAGGGTCCATGAATACTTTTGCCTACTCTACTCACAGGATTGCTTTGAGAAGAAATGGAGGGATGAAGACACATATTATTGCCATTTCCACTGTTGTTTTAATAAAGGAAGAATTATTAAAGAAAGAGAAATTTAAAGCAGAGTGTGTGCATGTGTGTGTGACTAAAACATGATTTCCTTGTAGTTAAGAAAAATTAATAGCCGGAATCATTTAAGGAAGCATAACTATCAAAGTCACCTATGCAATTTTGTGTTTAATTTAAAGAATTACGATATCTAATTTAAGAACTACTGTAAATTTGACCTGCTCCATTGCTGCAAAATCCTCCAGAGTCACCAGATCTAAGATATTATATGGAACATAACCAGCCTGTCCACTTCGGTTTTTCAGCTTCCACCATTGCTTGTTATCTTCCAACACCTGTGAATAAAAAAAACAATTTATCTGCTACAAAAGATTACGTTCTATTCTACATTCTCCCTCTGGAATCTTTACCTTACACGTAGTCCTTGACTTAACAACTGTTAATGAGCGAATGTTTGAAGTTACAATAGCACTGAAAAAAGTGACTTAGGACTATGTCCTCACACTTACAACTATTGTAGGGTCCCCAGAGTCACAAACTTGGCATTTATGATGTTTGCAGCATCATGTGATCATCATTTGTGACCTTCCTAGCTGGCTTCTGACAAACAAAATCAATGGGGGAAGGCTGGATTTGCTTAACAACCATATGATTCACTTAACTGCAGTTATGCACTTAACAACCATGGCAAAAAAAAAGATCATAAAATCAGGCATAAATCATAACACTTAGCATCTGCCTTACTTATCAATGGAAATTCTCGGTGTAATTCTCGGACTACCAATAATTCTTTACATTCTTGAGCACATGGTTATTTCCTTTCTGTAAATACTCTGGAATGTTTTTTTCCTCCCTGAGAATATGTTATCACTTTCAAATAATTTACAGAAAAAAACTTACTAGCAAATAAGTGAAATCCCATCTTATTTGCTTTTTAATCTACTTTGCCCAATGTTCAGTGCTTCCTGCCCATTCAGCTTTAAGAATGACTAGTGAGCTCGAAAGCTTAATAGCGAAATGGGACAACTCACCATGGCCAACTCGCTGCACGACAACTTGCTGCGGGACAATTTAACAATTCTATTTAATTATTTAAAATAAATTAAAAAGTTTTTTAATTTTTGCCATTCACTTTTCATTCTGTCCCTCATTTTGCATCCTTTCTTTAATGATTCTATTCCACTATTTATCTGATATTAGTGTAACTCTTGTCCCTCAACGAGTTGGTTGTGGCAAGTTGGCCATAACAAGTTGTCATGGCGAGTTGGCTGTGGAGAATTGTCACAGACCCTCCCATAGGTGCTTTCTCCATCATAAACCAGTTAGTGCTGCAGAGTATTAAAGTGCAGGTTTCCTTCTCTCTCTTACCTGCCCTGAAAAATCTCATATGGAATATTGTATGTGGAGGATTGAAGGATCCATTCAAAGCTCATGTGATCATGCCCGCCTCCCACTTCCCTTTCCAGTTATTTGCAAGGATCTTGGATTCATTCTTTTACCTCTAGAATTTCATCTTTCAGCACTGACAGTTCAGTTGCATTTCGAGCAGTGAAATCATAAAGAATTTTGGCATATCTCTTTGACTGAGCTATACCTTGTGCCTCAAAATTCCTGCAAGAAAGATAATGTTTGAAAAGAGTCAGGTTAGTCTACTGTGGCAAAAAAAATATTGGTAGCATGTTTGTCAATTAACAATCCTCTAGTCAGAATTTAATTCAAATGTTAACCAAACTGGCTAGTTGAAGATGATGCTAATGTATTTTTATTTTTTTGCAAGAAAGATATAATGGCATTATCACAGGCTTCCATTACTAGTCAGAATAAGTCATGGCCTAATTTAAAAATTAAATGATACACCAGTACATTTTTTCCAGCTTTCTTTAGCTGATGTGCTACAGTTCCTGCAAAAAATTAAATTACATATTATATCAACAAAACAAAATAATAATGAAGTCTGCCTGTAAAAGTAATTAAAGCAATAATCCTTCAGAACATAGTTTAATTCATATTACAAAATACTTTTCTTAAGGTAAGCAAGCCAGACCTCTGACAAGACATCATAAGACAATAACTGCAACCCCAATTCTTCCCAGAGTTGAAATGAAATTTGGCAGCATACAAGTGTGTAAAAGAACAAAGTTAACAATTAGAAGACAGCAGCTGGACTCCCTGTTTTCTTGCTTGTATTACATTGGAATAGATAAAAGAGAAAACATTAGCTTCCATGAGGTTTGAAACCAATGCAGGGAACATCATTTTACCAGGAGAAAAGGTAGTAATCTTTTCCAGAAGTGGCTCCCAACAAGAGAAACATAGAGCAGCACAAATAAGAAAAGGAGAACGATATTTAAGCTGGTGTAAACAGAATGAGTCACTGGAAAGAATGGTGGAACTAGGAGAATGCTTTCATTGGATCAGTGGCATTGAAATCTGTTCAAAAATATTCCGAATTACTCTGAATCACTCATGAACCCTACTGTGAAGGACATTAGTCATCATGTATTCATTTATATCAAGAGTCTTCAAACTTGGCAAGTTTAAGACTTGTGGACTTCAACTCCCAGAATTCCTTAGCTAATATGACTGATTCTGGGAGTTGACGTCCACAGTCTTAAAGCTGTCAAGTTCGAAGACCCCTGATTTATATTAACAATATTATTGTTAGTATTTTTTCTTCATCCGTATGAATGTCATTTTAGATATAGTACTAAACATGGATATTTAAGCCTATTTAAGATTTTAAAATCACACATATACTGATAATCTGAACATCCTTCCTTCCTTCCTTTTCTTTCTCATTCTCTCTCCCTCTTTCTTTCTATTTTTATTATTTTCCCTGGTTTCTTTGCTTGTTTTTAAAACTCTTTTTAAAAATCTTTTTTGTCTTGCTTCATGTCTTCAATTAAAAAAATAAAGGAAAAAAAACACTTGAGGACTATTATTTCATCCTTCCACAATTACATAGTTAAGCCCCACAACATGTCCTTTAAGGTTGGGTGTACAATCTGAGGTTCCAGAGAGGCTGCAATTATTCAAAATATTAGCCACAAACTTCATATAGAGTCCCAACACGATTACCATTGAATGGTATCACATGACAGAAAAAGAAAACTATTCAATACACAAAGAGTATGGTAGTCACATTAAATTCACTTTATTTATATCAAATACTAAATCAAGTCGTGTGTACAGTAGTTTTTGCCCTGGCATCATCAGCTTGGCCTGTCAACCTAAAGTTGTGTTACTTGTCAAAAGGCAGATACCCAGAATGATGTGATATCAGCTGCTCACATTTTTTCATCCCACAAATGAAACAATGAAAGGAAAATACCTATTTACATGTTGAGTAACATGCTGAGCAAAGGCATCCACTGCTTGCTTTTGGTCTGAAGTCTGGACTGGCTTCAAGTGGCGATTGGGACACCCATTGGATGATGACAGCTTCCAAGGAGAGGAGAAGGAAGAGACCAGAATATTATTAATAAAGGAAATGTGCACGTCCCAAAGAAAGTTCCTCATTTTTATCAATCAAAATCATAATATGAAAGGTGTCCCAAAGGCAACTGGACTTTCTTGTTTTTTTCTTTGAAGATGTTTTGCTTCTCATCCAAGAAGCTTCTTAAGCTCTGACAGGATAGTGGGGAATGGAAGGAATGGAAAGATTTATATTATCCAATCAGTACTGAAGAAGCTCTTGGATCAAAACAATGCAAATCAACTCTTCCTTTTAAAGTGGTATGATGAGCAAGGTAACTTGCGTTTGGTCATATACAGAAATATCTAAGTGGTTATTTTAAAGAAGGTTAGTTATCTTTCCCTTTTATAGGTGGGAGAATAGAATGCTATGTTAGCTGAAGCCCAGCCATTGGGAGGTGAAATGAGGTAAGATTTCCAACAGCAGGAAAACAGAGACTCATAAAGTTTTGAGAATTTCACTGCTGGAAACAAAAAGAGGGTTTTTTTTTTCTGGTTTGTTTGGCGAGTCACGAATAAATCAGCTCAGTTGCTATACACAACAATGACAAGAGAACACAAAGATGCAGTTTGATTCTGGAACAGTGCAAATAAATTCACATGGATGAGCCTAGGGAGTGCTTAGCTAGGTTGCTGCAAGTTAGCTAAGTATTAAAAATGTTCAACATGTCCTGAATGATCAATTCAACTATTTTTTTTTTTTAAATATGAACCCTTCATAGATTTGTTTATTTACTTTAACAACAACATTCACAATTTGAATAAATAGCTAAAGGGAAGGGAAGGGAAGGGAGGGAGGGAGGGAGGGAGGGAGGGAGGGAGGAAGGAAGGAAGGAAGGAAGGAAGGAAGGAAGGAAGGAAGGAAGGAAGGAAGGAAGGAAGGAAGGAAAGAAAAGGGGATCTAGAAAGTACCTCTTCTTGCAAATGGCCAATATCAATTTCCCATGGAGCCCCACGAAAGATTTCCAGGGGTGGCTCCCATCCATTGTGAAACTTTGGAACATATCTTGGGATGTTGGCATCTCTTGGCCATTCAGCTCTTGGAACAGATATTAAAAATAAGTTTATTTTCTAGGCAGCAAGAACATACGCAGCCTTTTCCCATTTCAGACTATAATTACTAGTCCTCAAAGCTGAGCATCTTTTTGGAACACCAGCATTCGGACTGCTTAGCTCACATACAAATGTTACCAATGACCTTACAAAGCTAGAGACAAAACAACCATTGCTCACAACATAGATAACCACCCCACTTCCTGGCTGTGGTTCACAAGTGTTTTTTGGGTCTCTATGGTTTTAAATTCATGAGGAGAGGCACTAGCAAGGAAGAAAAGTTAAGGTGTGCTTCATTGCTAAGGGCCTCACTTTTTAAATCAGGGAAATTCTTGCCTTCAGTCTACTTTATTTCTGTTCAGATAGCATTTTAGATAATTTTGCCTTTCACCAACTTCAGCCAAGGAAGACACGAGACATCCTGTGACCACCATGGTGATCTGATGTCCTGCTAGTAACAGGGCCATATTCGCAAGGAGAATCACAGCTGGATGCAGGATCCAGGTGGCAAAATTTCTGGAGGAAGAAGAGGTTGTTGAGATTATCCACATGACTGTGGACAACCACTCCTTGTAAGTAGACCATGGAAACTATTGTTTTGCAGTCAACTTATGAGTTGAATACCTACAAGTCAGGGTTCCATCAAACTCACCCTCATAACGAACTTTCTATGGAAACTAAGCTTAACTGAGCCTCATTTCCTAATCACTTTTGGGATATATTATTTTTTTATTATACTGGAGTGATTAAAACCCTTTGGATCAGCAAGTTGTATTTTAGTTGTATTCATTGGATGACTCTCCTTCTCCTTAATATAAATGTGGTTTTAGTTTTGTTGTATGCAACCCAAATTTGCTTGTGAGATTGTTGGCCATATAAATTAGATAAAGAAAAATAAATACATAAACAATTTTCAATTATGCAGTAAAAGGGTATTTAGAATATGGATTTTAGAAAGTTAATAATGGATTAAGGGTCCACAGAATATTTTGAATATTGGAATATTTATCTGTCAAACTTTGATAAAATAGGTAAACTTAATAAGATAGACATAGCATGTTGCAATGATGCTAGAGAACAAGTTGCAATGGATAATTTTGAAATTATACTGAAGGGGACTTACGTTAGTTGTGATAAAAAAAACCCAAGGATATAGAGAAAGATATGGACGTGCAAATGGAACTGACAAATAACACTGACAAATGTTCCCTAAAGTAGATACACAACTTTTGAACCAGGAAATAGACTTCAATAATTTTTAATACTATATATACAAAAGAACTCTATTAAGGTCTTGTAAGATTCTGTTGGAGGGGAAAAAACAAAAGGATGAATGTTATTTATTGAATACACACACAAAAAAATCTGTTAAAGTTCTGAAAGAATTGTGGCTCCAACATGAATAGAAAACTAGCTCTGGGACTCTTCGAAGGGACTAAAAATGAGATTCTTAAAAAACTCAGGGAAGGTTTACAAAATTAGCTTATTCAATCAAAGCTAAAAGAGAAAAAATAATTGTATCTGGTTTCCCTTACTGGACTTTTGCTAACAAAGAACAATTGACAAACCATTTGGATCTTGGTTTTTATTTACAAGATGTGCTATTGAGTGAAGAGAAATTATATATTTAAAGATGGAATAAACGATTAAAATTGCCCTTTAGTTGCTGGGATAAAGGGCGAAGTTAATCTTTGTTTTCTTTTTTTCACACTTCTTTTCTTTTTGCATTTTACTGCTTGTATTTTTAATAGTTTGTATTTGCTGTTGCTTTTATTGTTTTCAATCATAAGATTAGTCTGGAAGAATCCTTCTTTGGGTTCCTCTTCTGCTTTATTTACATACCTTGATCTTGTCCAGGTGCCTCCTAAGGATTCCCACAATGCCATTTCCTTTGGTGTTAGATGCCCTTTTAGAAAATCTGTAGTATCCTTTGAAAGAAGTGGACTGACAACAGACCTTGCAAATTCAGGGCCTCCACTGCTGTTAACAATCTGGATTACAAACAAGAAATCACAAATGAGAATTTCCAAAAATCTTTTATGGTTAAAACATTGGGAAATATCAATCTTTAGGCCTTTTCAGGTAGTTCTTGACTTATGACCACAATTGAGCCCAAAATGTCCATTGCTAAGTGAATTTTCCCCCATTTGATGACTACAGCTGTTAGGTGAATCACTGCAGTTGTTAAGTTAATAACACAGTTGTTAAATGAATCTGGATTCCCCATTGACTTTGCTTGTTGGAAGGTTGCAAAAGTGGGAAACTGTCATAAATAAATGCCAGTGGCCAGGTATCCAAATTTTGATCACGTGACCATGCAGATGCTACAGTAGCCGTAAGGGTGAAAAACAGTCATAAGTCACCTTTTTCAGTGGCATTGTAACTTTGAATAAATGGTTGTAAATCGAGGACTACCTGTACTTAAACTGCTGGATTAGGAAAATATCTAGAAATCAAAGCTTAGTCATGGCCTTTTACTTCCAGGTTGGTGCCATGCCAAGGTATTCTTTTAAATAGTACTTGGGTGATAAATAGGAGTTAATATACTGTTTACTGGATGTTCACAGCAAGTTTACTTTTCTAAAGTCCATATTTGCAGTACAGACACAATTGAGTGCAAAATGCACTATGCTAATCAAGAGAATGGGTTGGTGCCATCTAGGTCCTCCAGAAAATGTGTGATGTTAAGAATGTTGCCATTGAGGGCAATAGCAGAGATTCAGATAACGGAGATGCAGTTTTTAAGTGAAGTTTTAAGCCACTTTAATAATAAACACATTTCAGGTGCGGTTCCAATTTTACTCAGTTTTATCATTCAAAAGTATGGTCATTTAATTTTCTATATAACTCTGTACCAGCTAAGAGCCCAAGATCAAAAGTTTCAATTACAGAATGACTAATGTTAGGCTTATCAATGTTTGAAAAATTAACTACAAAGAACGCTAAATGCTATTATTGTTGCATAAGGGTTGGATGGAGCGAGTCATGTGTGTCTGCAAAAAGAGAACAGTGAGGAGCAAGTATCCAAAGGTGTATTCTGCTATCACAGCTCAAACTCTGTTGCTTATGTACTTGGGACACAATTAAAGGAGGGATTGTGTTGCCGCATGGTTGTATTGTGGAATCACATCTGTGAGAGATTATGGAAAGGCTGGAAAGGGTGCATAAAGAGATAGAGGGGGAGTCAGTTGATAGCTTATCCCATAAATGGCAGCTTAAATTTAGGTGGAGAGAAATCTGAGTTATTCAAAGCCATTTTTCAACCATTCAAAAGGATTCTACCTTAAAAGAACCCAGTATAAAGGAGGCTGGGAAATTCCATGTACTGTATAGTTATCAAGATTTTATATTTACCCCAGATTACCTTCCTATTACATGGCTTGACTATTATGTCTTGTTATTTTTCCATCATTGCAGTTAGTAATGAATGGCTATGACTGGATTGTGATTCCCCCAAAAGTTTTGCAACAATTCATGTTGTGCTTTAAGAGAGCAACAGCATTTAGGCTTAGTACTTAGATTTATGCACCACTTCACGGTGCTTACCAGCCCTCTCTAAGTGGTTTACCGAGTCATCATATTGCTCCCAACAATTTGGGTCCTCATTTTACCGGCCTCAGAAGGATGTAAGGCTGAGTCAACCTTGAGCCAGTCAGTATCAAACTGCTGGCAGTCGGCAGAGTTAGCCTTCAATACTGCATTCTGACCACTGGGCCACCACGACTCTTGTAAGAGTTTTGTATTGTATTGTAAGAGTCCTACTTTTGCTGGAAAAGACTAATACAACTACCTTTTTGGAAATTGTAAAAATCTCTGCAATTACCACATTTATTTTTTCTTTTAAAAAAGATAAATCTGTTTTCTTTGCTTTTTTGGTGGTGCACCAAATAGTCATGTGCCTCTCCAGAGTCATACATGTGTTGACTTATTAGATATGACAGCCTTGCTTCCATACTCAGATATTGTGAGGAGACTGAAGTAAATCCTCTCAACTTGTCATGACCTTTCAACCTCCTAGGTTACTACTTTGGGAACACTGTAAATCAATCCCTAATCTGGAATAGATGAATATTTAAACAGGCTAGAAAAATGTAATATGTGTGAAAAACATGCCTATTGGTGATTTAATTACCCTTCTCAAACTTACTCCCAGAAATTGCATGCAACATGGCTGGTTAGAATTCAGGGAATCAAAAGTCAACATATCTGGGTGCCATTAGATGAGGAATGCTGGATTAAAATTTATTGAATAAAGAAGGTAATTTATACCAGTTCCAGTGGTCCAAACAGGAAATGGACTAATTCTGAAGCACTTGGATTCTGAATATGTTTTTTCAGTTTGACCTGAGGAGAGAAGAAAAACAAGTTAAATCTAAATATATTTTATATTCGATTATGTTATAAAACTGTTCAAAAATAAAATGCAAACAGAAAAAAACATTTAGCAACTCCAAGAAATGTCCAAGAAGATATCCAGCATATTTCAATCCAGATGGTGTAAATTATTTCTCTCTAAAATAACATAAATCATACATGCAGATTCTTGTGCAAAGTCAAAGTACTGTATTATGACTTTACCTTATTCCCATGATCAAGTGGGCAGTTGGCCTCTTGGCATTAGATCAACTATTGCAGGAATTACTAAGATTAACTTGATCTCACTTAATCCAGAAGAGTTCTTTTGAGGTTTATAAGGAACATACAGTTGTATTGTTAATCAAACATTGTTTAATTAGCAAGAGCTTATTTAAATTGTATAATGGGTTTGCTTTACAGCAACCTGCATTGATTGCAGTCCACTGGGCAGCCAAAGCTTGAATCTTCAGCAATGTAGCACCTGAGGGAGCTAAACTGCAAAGGAAACCCTATGAGTTGCTTTGTTCCTTGGTATTGATATGAGAGATGGACAGATCTATTTGTTATACTGGAAATAATGTGCTACCTTGTTGCTATTTTCACAAGACTTAATAGATAGATAGAAGCAGTCTGGCAACTGCTTGTGTAGCCTTGACACCTCTCTCATTTGGCAAGAATCAGTGTAACATTGTAGTAAATCACAGTGTGTCACTTTCTGTGAGATGGGCGGCCATATACAAGTAGTTCTCAACTTACAACCATTTGTTGAATGACCGTTAGAAGTTACAACAGCACTGAAAAAAGTGACATGACCGTTTTTCACACTTACAACCATTGCAGTATCCACATGGTCATGTGATCAAAATTCAGATGCTTGGCATCAATATTTAGGAATATTGTAATGTCCCAGGGGTCATGTGATCACCTTTTGTGACTTACTGATAAGTAAAGTCAATGGGGAAGCCAGATTCACTTAACAATTCTGTTACCAGTTTAACAATCACAGTGATTCACTGAACAACTGTGGCAAGAAAAGCCGTGAAATGGGGCAAAACTCATTTAACAACTTGTTTAGCAACAGAAATGTTGAGCTCAGTTGAGGTTGTAATATGTACCTATGCGTTTGATTAATAAATAAACAAATAACACAACACAGTAAAAATCAGATGTTGTATCCATCATCCATTTGTCTACCTACCCATCTACTTGAGATTATTTCCTTCAAGAGTGCAAGACGCTTTACAAAGCATTCTTCCACCCACCTTCTTTTCCCACATAGCATCCTTATCAGGCAGGGCTTGCTAAGGAAGGAAGAATTTCTAGGACTGAAGGTAAATTTGAACCACACTATCTCTTATATGACACACATGCAAGGTTACCTTAAGATTTGCACAGGTATTGAACTGGCATATTAACTGTGTGATTTGCCAATAGTGCAACATTTGCCAAAAGGGTAATGATCTTGCACATGGTACACATATTATTTGGTGTTGTACAGTTTCTATCTCTCTCAGTACATTTTTAGTCAAATGCTATGGAGGAGAAACCTATTCTGTTTTTTCCCCCTCATGTACAACAAGATTACACTGTCAAGAATTTTTTTTAGAAAGGATTGATATATTTCTTCTTCTGTATTACAGTCAAATGTAGAAGCTGAAATGAGATTTCATTATATGACATGACATGTAACATGTATACAAGCTTTGCACTATTTACCAGTGCAAAAGAGTATTTGTCCTATATGCTGATATTTTGTGAATGGATATTTTTTTGGATCTTCCTTTAATATTGCCTTTGACTGTTTGTTCTCCAGCTCCTATTTTCCAGTAGTAATGTACATATAGTGTCTCTCTGTCGGTAATTCTCAATGCATCTTATGAAATGGAAAACTAATGCTTGAGTTTGTGACTTTTTAAAGTGTCAGCTGCAATACACCACCTTGTGCTTTTTTTTTTTGCAATTTTGCAAAGTTGTTTACTACTTTCTACTAAGATTCTCAAATCTTTGACTATGTAAGCATAATATTTGGTTGATTTCCAATAACAGCATGAATCAAACAACTATGCCGATGATAGAGAACCTGTGGCACGCAGAGCCATTTGTGCCGGCATGCGAGCCGCAGGCAAACATACCTCACTGTGCATGTGCACGCCTCACAGCTGATTTTTGGCCTGTTTGAGGCCTTTTTTGGCCTCCCAGAGGGGCTTGAGGAAAGCCTTTGCAGGCCGAAAAATAGGTCAGTTTCATCACTTCCTGTATTTCCAGAAATACTGGAAGTGATGAAACAGACCCATTTTTTCAGCCTGCAAAGCCTGCAGAAGCTTTCCTCAACCTCTGGGAGGCCGAAAAAGGCCTCAAACGGGCTGGAAGCTGGAAGGCGCAGTGCAGGTAAGGGGGCAGCGGGGGGGATTGCGCATGCATGTGCAGGGGTGTGGGGGGGGGGCACATGCATTGCCTTCTGGGTGCTGGCATGCAAGCACGCAAGTGCAAGTGTGCGCACAATTTTTGGCACAGGAGCCCAAAATGGTTAGCCACCACTGAACTATGCCATTATCTATCGAACTGAGATAAGAGAAAATTATATCCAACACCCTTTGCTTCTTACCAGAAGATTTAATGCCAGCTTGATTTTCTGAAAGCAGTCAAGAAACTCGATTTCACGTGGAGGTTTTGCGCGCAGAGTCAGAACTCCCTCTTCAGACCAAAAAATAATAAACACATTTAAAAATAAATTGACACTCCCGTGCATAAAGAAACATTAATGTGACATGCTGAACCATAATAATCTACATTCCTTGAGGGCACTTAGTGTTTGAAATGCCAATCTTGCCAAACTGGATGCCTTTCAGTGCAATGGATTGTAACATCCATCATTCCACAGCCAGCACAGCCAGTGGGGGACAGCCAGTGGCTCTGCAATCTGTTAAAGGCCGGATCTGTAGTTCGATATATTTAGAGTCTCCATATGAGGAAAGGCTGGAACAGTTTACAAAGAAACAGCCACCTAACCCTTTCAAAGCATAAGTAAAAGCTACCTCTATAAACACTGGTCATCAAAATACCAGTATATTTTTTTCTTCATGTTCCAAGCTGATCAGAAACAGAGCTTTGTGGGTTTGGGGGTTGCTTGGTTCTCAAAGGCCTTATAGGCAAAACTAAATATTTTCCCAGTCTCTTGGGACACGTCGAGAGATGGGTTTTTTTCATTGGAGACATTGGAGGTCTTTAACGATGCCTTTTATTATATCTCTATGTGCTTTTGCTTATTCCTAATTAAAAGAGCATCACTGTTTACAGGGAGAGTTGAATCACTGAACTTGAACCCAAGTCACAAGGGCGGGGAAAAATGACCCCATCCTGACAGGGAATGGCCAGTGTTCCTATCCTCCGCCTCAAAACCTGAGAGGTGTCAAGACTAAGAAAGAGCTAGAAATGAAAAGAGGACCCTTATTCATCTTCATCCAGTGGCTTTTAGTTTTGAACAAGAAGAGAGAAACGGAGCAAGGAAAGAGGGGAGTGGGGTTCAGAACTGGCCTGGTTCAGAATTTGAACTGGATCCTTCAAGCCTGATGGGATAGAGTGTACAGTGCATTCAGAAAGTATTCAGACCCCCTTCGCTTTCATCAATTTTGTTATGTTGCAGCCTAATTCTAGTTGACGAAATTCATTTTTTTTCTCACTAATCTACTCAGTAACCCATAATGACACACAGTAACCCATAATGACAAAGTGAAAGCAGAATTTTAGAAATGTCTATAAATTTATGAAAAAGAAAAAGAAAAGAAATTGGTATAAGTATTCAGATCCTTCACTTAGTACTATGTTCAAGCACCTTTGGCAGCAATGACAGCATTTAGTCTTTTTGGGTATGCCGTGACAAACTTTGCACACCAGGATTAGGGGATTTTCTGCCATTCTTCCTCGCAAATCTTCTCAAGCTCAGTCAGGTTAGATGGCGACCGTCGGTGGACAGCCATTTTCAGTCCCTCCTTCAATAGGGTTCAAGTCAGGGCTCTGGCTGGAGCACTCTAGGACAGGGGTGTCAATCTCAAGGCCCAGGGGCTGGATCCGGCCCGCAGGATGCTTAGATTTGGCCCGTGTGGCCGCCCTGGAAAAAGTGAAGGACAGGCCCATGGTGTCTCTGCCAGCAAAAATGGAGCTCGGAAGAGCTGTGCGTGCCCCCCCCCCCCCGAGCTCCCTCCCTTTTTGCTGGCAAAGGGTTCCAGGAGGCTGTTGCAACTGAAAATGGAACTCGGGAGCCCATTTTTGCTGGCAGAGTGCTTGGGCCACCAGAGAAATCCCCCGACACAAGTGTCATCATGATGGCCATGCCCCTCTGGTTATGCCCACCCCGGCCCTCCGAGGTCAAACACAACCCTCAATGAAATCAAGTTTGACACCCCTGCTCTAGAACATTCACAGAGTTGTCCCTCAGGCACTCCTGTGTTATCTAGGCTGCGTGCTCAGGATTGTTGTCATGTTGGAAAGTGAACCTTCAACCCTGTCTGAGTTCCTGAGCACCGCAGAGCAGGTTTTTATTGAGGATATCCCTGTACTTTGCTCCATTTAGCTTTCTCTCAACCCTGACCAGTCTCCCAGTTCACGCTGCTGAAAAACACCTCCACAATATGGTGCTGCCACCACCATGCTTCACTGCTGGGTTGATATTGGGCAGGTGATGAGCAGTGCTTGGTTTCCTCCAGACATAATGTTTGGAATTGAGGCAAAACAATTCAATATTGGTTTTCATGAAACCAGAGAATCTCATTCCTTACAGTGTGAGAGTCCTTCAGGTGCTTTTTTGCAAACTCCAAGCAGGCTTTCATGTGTTTTGCACTGAGGGGAGGTTTCCTTTTGCCATAAAGTCCAGATCAGTGGACAGCTGCAGTGATGGTTGCCCTTCTGGACCTCTGTCCCATCTCCATGCAGAATCTCTGGAGGTCAGTCAGAGTGATCATCAGGTTCTTGGTCACCTCTCTTAGTAAGGCCCTTCTCCCAATTGCTCAGTTTCACTGGGTGACCAGCTTTTAGAAGAGTCCTGGTTGTGCCAAACCTTTCCCATTTGAGAATTATGGAGGCCACTGGGCCCTTAGGAACCTTTAGTGCAGCAGAAATTTTATTGTATCCTTCCACAGATCTGTGCCTTGCAATAATCCTGTCTTTCAGCTCTACAGGCAGTTCCTTTGACCTAATGGCTTTTGGTCTGCTACAGTATGTCTTGTCAGCTGTGAGGCCTTCTATAGAGAGGTGTGTGCCTTTACAAATCATGTCCAATCAATTTAATTTACCACAGATCGACTACAATCAAGGTGTAGAAACATGTCAGCAACGATCAAGAGAAATGGGGGGCACTGGAGGTAAATTTCATTGTAGAGTTGTAATTGCAGGAATGTTCCAATCTCGGATGGCAAACCTCAGATAAAGAATGTTTCCAAGCAAATACAACTCAGGTAAACAAAGTCACTAATCTAAAGGAGGATTAGAGAGAGAAAGTAAACATATGTTAGACTTTAACTAGAGATAATTAATTGTATGGATTACTGTGCTAAACAGTAACGAAAGTTAAGCAGTAACCAAAGTTAACCAATGATGGAGGATAATTAAAAATGTATATAAATGCAAGACTAGACTCCAATAAAGATCATCATGATTCAGTTGTTCATGATCAAACAACTCGGCTGCCTCGTCATTACAACATTTCATGTGTTGTTACAAAGGGTCTGAATAGTTATGCCAATGTGATATTTCAGTTTTTCTTTTTAATACATTTACGGACATTTTTAAACTTCTGTTTTCACTTTGTCATTATGGTGTACTGAGTGTAGTTTAATGAAGGGAAAAAATGAATTTCAACAACTATAAAATCAGGCTGCAGTATAACAAAAATGATGAAAGCAAAGTGGGTCTGAATACTTTCTAAATGCACTGTATATGAAAGCAGGCATCACTTAACAGAACTGGCTTAATAATAATAAACTACATCATGTGGTGCAGTGGGGTCACCATTAAAAAAACAAATGTGGCTCTTGAAAGAATCCTTGAGATTGGTATTTGTTGCTTCTTTCACTTCCGTGATGTGCATGTAATGATATATAAAATGAACACGAAATCTCATTTTCATTCAGCTGAAATTTTCAGGAAAAAAACATTTGTGTTTATTTTGATAAAAAATTGCAAGGGCCACCAAAGCAAGAGAGAATTAATTGAGGGTTGGCCGAGTGCTTCTAACCCCTGGACTGTGTGCCAATTTGCTTATTTGTAAAATAATTCATTGTCCAGCTCCACAAGAAAAAATTTCAAAGAATAACAAAGCCACAAAGCCAATAAAAATCACACCTACTCTAATACTGACATCTGTTATGGGTCCTCTCTCTTAAGGAGATGTATAACGGGCCAAAAAGAAAAGCCTTCTCATTGGTGGCTCCCTCCTTGTGGAAAATTATCCCTCCAGAGATAAATTTGGCCCAATTTTGATATTTTTTTGGAAGGCCCTGAAGATACGTTCTACCAACATGCTTGGGGACCTAGAGTGATGTGGAGCCCTTCAAGTGGCTGATCTGATTGTTGTCACCAGGAAACGAGTGTTTATTGGGTTTTGTACTCTATGAGCCACCCAGAGTCACCATGAGAGAGTTGGGCAGTCATATAATTTTTCAAACCAACAAATCAACAAAGGCAGCCCTTTTATCATTAATCACCCCTAAGCAGAACAAAAATATGTTCAAGTCCTTCTGGAAATTGAGGAAAAAACTGCACAGGGTGCGCTAAGTCAAAATAGAAAGGCTGTCCCATAGGCCATTATCCCTTTATCTCATGTACATTTTTCCAAACCTGTGTCATCCCATTTTGGACATAAACTAAGGATGCTCTCTTTTTCCCTTTTGAAGGGGAAAATTCCCTGAATCTAACAATATACACCCTCTAAAGAGCCTTATATTCAGTTGCTCCTACAGCCAGTGATTTAGCTGTGGATACCTGCTGGCCCTTTCTTCTTGTTCTTCTTTCCCTTCTTCCTTTGGTTCAGTTGCCTGAATGCTTCTGCTGCTTTCTGAAGCTTGGCCACGAAGAGCTCAATATCATCGAGGGTGCAGTTCAGTATTTGCTGCAAACACACAAAAGAGACAAAACCAAGATCTAGAAGCCGTCCATCATGCTCACACGAACTTACTATGCATCTCCCCGATTAAGAGTCAAAATGTTCATTGCCGCTTTAATCATGAGCATTCAGTGTGATCAGCAGGTACGTTTTGTTTTAAATAATCACCACTAGGAAATTGTGAGCCGCCTCCAGACCAAGTGAAGAGAAATGTTTGAACAAGGGCATCTTTCCCTGCTATGTTCTTATTTGCATTTCAAAAAAAAAACATTTCTTTTGGTAACACATGGACAATCAACAAACAGATTTTATCATCAAGTGGTTACTTCACCCCCTCCCATATAACTCTAAAAAAAAAAATTACTATCACTAACCGTTTCTTTTTCAATCTTCTGTGCTAAAGCTGCACGAGACTCCTCAGAATCCTGGGAGCTACTACTTCGTCGATCGTACTCTGCCAAAAACACAAAAAGCAAAGTACGGTTAGTCCTCAGCTTACAACAGTTCCTTTAGTGACCGTTCAAAATTACAACGATGCTGAAAAAGTGACTTATGACCGCTTTTCACAGTTATGACCCTTTCCAACATTCCCGTAATCAAAATTATAATGTTTGGCAACTGATTCATATTTATGACCGTGGTTGTGTCCAAAGACCATGTGATCACCTTTTGCAACCTGCTAACAAGCAAAATCAATGGGGAAGCCAGATTCACTTAAGTTAGTATCAGCTGCAGAGATTCACTTAACAACTGAGGCAAGAAAAATCGTAAAATGGGGCAAAATTCACTTAACAAATGTCTCACTTAACAACAAAAATGTTGGGCTCAGTTGTGGTTGTAAATTGAGGACTACCTATATTGTCAACAGAAAGAAAACAAAATAGGAGTGGAATTAAATTATTTGTTTAAAAACATTCCCTGTATCAAGCTACCCTATGAAGCTTTCTTTGACATGAATATTATGAACATAGCGTAGATCAATGGATTCTGTCAAAGAAAACAGAAGGAATAGTTTGGGAACTAAATGTATTCATTAAAAACTCAGAAGGTGGAAGTATCACATAGTTATTTATTTTATTGCTCTGGATGTAGCAATCATGCATCTAAGAACATTTTGACAGAATTTCATCGATTTGGCCAATTCCAGACTCTGTTTTTCAGCATGGGCCTCGTTGCCAAAGATTTGTCAGATAAGAGCTGTAATGAAATTGTTCTTGAGCACAATCCTCATAAGCCTTTAAAATGTGTCCTTTTTTAGCCATCCCTGCAGCAAATCTGAATTTGACTTGTTTTCAGACAGACTTTTTGGAAAGAAAAGAATCAGCGTAACCAGGTTTTGAAAGTAAATACTGTGTGAATCTAGCTATATCTAGCACAGTCCAGAATCCAGGTGCTCTCATCTAACAAGTTCATCTAATACGCAGCAAGATCCATGAAATAATTACAAAATATGTTTCTAGAAACATTATGTCAACTTGCAACACACAAATCTACACTAAGGTGGGAAGCTGGCTAATAGTCAAGTTCATACTTTTGGGATACATCGTTTGATAAACGTGGTTGATTAAATGTAACGCAAATGCATAACTTGCTTTAAAAAGCACGCACAAAGGCCATCTCTCTTTATCACTGGATATTATTTCTGTTTTGCAAAACTCAATTTTAAAATAGAATTCTAGTTCTCGGGATCAAAGTATAGGTCTGTTAAGAAGTCCAAACAAAACTGTTTTCTATCCAATAAAGTTTAAAGCATTCTAAACCTTCAATTAAACAAGTTTTTCAGTGTCAAACTGACACAATGGCTGGGGATGGTGGGTTCTAGTTCCTTATGTTTGAGGGCATCAAGTCAGGAAAAGCTGCCAATAAAAGAGAAAAACTCTGTGTCAAGATTGAACTGCTTTGCTTCTTTCAAACCTAATGCTTTTCAACTTGCCAATTAACTGGGGTAGGGAAAGGGGAAATAGAATACTGAGAATGTGTTCGTGGACTGTGAGAGCCTGGCAACTATCAAGGTCACCACTGCAGGTGCTTGAGAAAGAGACTGACTGTTCCCATAACAAAAGGACATCTCATAATTGGACAGGGGTAGGAAGAAAGGGAAAATATCATTTAATTAAGCAAGCATTTGCGCGGGAACACCACAGCTGGTTTTGATTCTTCAGGACCAAAATGATGTATCCAATAAAGTTTTACTTTTGCGAATTCAAAACTCATGAGAGTGTTTTCTTATTTGGGGTTCACTAGTCAGACAACTGATACTCAAATTTTGTAACTTTTGCCTCTCTGAAGAAAATCAGCTGATGAAGCTTTCCTCTGCATTCTATCACCAGATTGGCTAAAAGTTTATCTCTTAGTGTGCTATCCATCATGCAATTATATAGTTGCATCAAGCTCCTAATAATTAAAAAAGGCAGTGGCTCTGTTCTGGTCCTTCTGGTTTCTTCAGAAGGAAATCTGCATGTCCACCCATTTTGCATAAATTGCTGTAAAGCGGCAGACAGGTTAACCTCCCTTATTTCTTTTTGCAATGCTTGTGCTCTTGATGGAGCTACAGCACCCTTTTTCCTTTAGCGTTGGGTTGCTGCTAATTCACATGGCAAAAATCTCTGCTATCCTTGGAAAACCCCCAGCATATGCAGGGAGGGGTAATTTCGCTGTAATCAGTCCCATTATCCACTGCCTCCTACTCACTGGGGCAAATAGGTTCTTGTGCTGTTCTCCAGAAGGAGGCAATGGATTAGAGGAGAAACAGAAATTAGGACAGAGAGGGGGTGTCCCTAGACAAACACCAGGAAATGTTAGAAAACTAGTATCAGTTAATCAATAGCTAGTACCAGCCGGAAGTGTGCACAAGGTTTGTGAGATAGAAAATAGACCATGTATTGAGTGGGTAGCTGTAGATTCAGCAATAGATTTGTGGTTGATTTGTAACAGACTGGTAAGAATCTCTAACTCTTAATTGTTTTAATGGCAACAGCAAAGACTTATACCTCACCTCTGTTTTGATCAACAAGAATCAGATCAGTTATGATGGCCTATTTGTCTTTATACATAAACAGTTTTATATGAGGTTCTACTAAAGCCCAAGGGTTCTACTAAAAACAAAAATGTCACAAAGTTGAAGGCCTCCTTCCCCAACTATTGATCCAAAAACCACCTGCCATCACCTTCTTTAGTACAGTGAAGACACTAGGCATAATTCAGGCTGTTCAAAGGTTGAGGAGAATGGGATTTAAGCATGCTGTGTTTTAATTACCACATGAAAATATTCATGAATGCCTTGTTTTCTTGGGCCTTTAAGACATGCACATGAGTGACAAGAATGACATGACCTTGATTTTCCACTGGCCACGTTAGTGTGGCAATGACAGGCTCCTGCAAATGCTGGCAGAACTGGCCTTCAAGTGCAGGTGACTTGGTGTACTGTCTGACGTGTTCATGGATGTGGTGGAATGTAGTCTGGATACCCAGGAGGGAGGGGCTGCCTTCTAGTGGTAACAAAGGTGGTAGTGGTAACAAAGCACTTGTTCCCTGGGAGAAAAAAAGAGTTAAGAAGGCTCCTCCCTAGCAATACTCATAGTGATGCAAAAACTCAATAAATTGCTTTATTTTGGCAAGATTTCTGTCTATAGCTGAGGAACAATAAAAGAAACTACAGAGAAATAATTCTACTTGTGTTTTTTTGTTCTTGGGGCCTGATAGAGCACTGACAATTCCTGTACCTGGCTGGGACGGAGGGACCACACGATTCTGGTTGTTTTTTTGGAAGCCTCTGCTTTCATTCTGGAAAGGGATGGGTGCAGGCCCTTGAGGTGGGGGGAGGATGGATTGCCTCTGTTTGATCTTCTCTTGGTTCGCCCTAGAAGGGAGGAAAGGAAAACAGGAATTGTTTTGATAACTACAAGATGTAATATTCACTCAAATAGCAGTCACACAGCAAATGAATTTAAATCAGTGTTAATTAATTTGGATTTTATTGGATTAAGAGCAATGTTTATTTATGGAGGGGAAGAGTACAAAACTTTTCATATAGACCTCAATTATGGGTGATCTAACAGTACAAAGCCTTTCATTTTCATCCACTTGTACAGACTAAGCTGATCTGCATAGGTTGATCACTGTAGAAATCCTACTAAATTCAGCTGGATTTAATGCTAAATAAATAAGTGTGTATAAAATCACCATTCTACTTTGCTACTCTTAGCAAGCAAGGAGACAGTAGAGGTGTCAGACTAGGCCCACAACTGGCTGTTGAACATTTTCTTCAGACCCCTCTTTGGTTTCTAAAGTTCCACAGGCACATCAACATACTTGCACCATTTTTATCCTCTCTTTGTCCAGGCTAGTACTTTTGTTTTTATGTTGTATTTATTATTGTGACTTTTATATTTTTATCTGTTTTTGTTGGCTGTTTTGTTTATTGTAGTGCATCCTCTCTTTGGAGGGAGATGGGCAACTACATAAATTTGATAAATACTTTCAAGATTATCTATGATTTATGTGCAATTTCTAAGCTTGATCAGTCCTTTCACATCCTGTGCTCCCCCCCCCCCCTGCAAAGAGTCATGAAATGCACACAGCACCTCTGTGGATAATAGAGACTGATATGGATAAATTTATGTTTCTTTAATGACCAAGCCTTCCAGGTGCTGGGAAAAAAGCAAACCAGTGGGCGTCATAAGGCATAAGTCCAATTGATGAGAACTTTCAGGTAAAATTTCCATAGAAATGGGACACAAGGGTTTTGCATAAACTCAAAATCAGTTCCAGATTCATCTTATTTATTTTTATGCCACCTTTATATCAGTTCCAGATTTATCATTTATTTTTATGCCACCTTTATTATTTTTATAAATAACAAGGCAGCAAACATACCTAACATTCCTTCCTTCATTATTGCTCCCACAACAATAACACTGTGGGGGAGGGGGGTGCTGAGAGAAAGTGACTGGCCGAAAGTCACCCAGGTGGCTTTCATGCCTGAAGTGGGACTAAAACCCACTGGTTTCTAGTCAGGTGCCTTAACCACTAAACTAAACTGGTTCACATCTCTGTCTGATCTCATAGCATCAGCTGGTTTGGGGAACTGAGTCAATTTATTTCTAGTTCTGTGGTAGTTTATCTGAAGCCAGAGCACAGGTGATTTTTTCCCTCTGAACTTGTGGTTTTGCAGAGTTTGTGGATGATGTCATTTTCACTAATGAAAAGGAACACATCATCTTGTCTTCTGGAACCAAAGCGGCCACTGTTCTTTCTCACCAACTCACCTACCATACTGTTTACCTTCCTAATACTTGCCTTGTTCCCAATAATTGTCTACAAGCATTGCACTGTAGTTAATATGTAATCAAGATTACAAGTAGGAGGATAAAATGCTTGATTATAAAGTTGCTGACATACTAGCATTTCACCATGGGAAAAAAAAAGCAAGAGCCTTTTAAATGTGCAACAGATGTCAGCTGGGGAGCCAGTTAAGTATCTCCTCAAAGCAGCTGCTTTGACATGTTTGTTAAAATGGCTGAATAAATGGAGACATCATGCCCTGAAAAGGTAATACTGATTTCTTTTATTTCCCTTTTATTTGAAGTGGGGAAGAGGGGATTCAGTTACCCCAGTGCAACCAGTGGTCCAGACAAAACTCTGACTGGATAGTGTCCTTTGGTCAATTGGAAGGGAGATGGATGAGCATGGATGGACTCATTGGTATACAATCCCCAAATTTTGTGGTTCAAATTATTTCCATGGGAATTGAAGGTAGTGTGCAACTATCTCTAATCCTATCAACTTTATAATATTTTTTTCATTTACAAATGCATTAAGCAGGGCTTCATCTCTGCCCTATTAAGTTCCAGCAAGATAAATTTAGCCGCTTGCACAGTCACTGCTTTTCAATTCCCAGTCCTAGAAACTGATTCACAATGACCTGCAATTATTCTCCAGCTGATGAAAAAAATCCCGCACAATGAAGTTTAGTTGAATGATTTCTTAACAATTGTGCTGAAATGTGATAGCATTAAGAGGTAAATTTCCACTTACATTTTAGGCTATTTCCTCTGTTACTGAAACCTGTCTGAAAGACTCTCAGCAATATTCTCATTCATTAGATTTGGGTTTCAGGATGTCTTCCTGAGAGAAAGAGCAATTCTACTGCCAGAGATAATTCTTTCCTCCATCTTCATGGAATATGGGTAAAATTACTCAAAGTTTTGCTACTCCAAGTGAGCTCCCACCACCCATTTTCAAACTGCAATAACTCAAACATGGAAACTTGCAACCCCTGTAGTCCAAGAAATGCATTTTCCTGGGCTCCCTGCTAGAGTTTGTCCATATACAGAAGCCACTTACTTGAGGGTCTGTGGCCGTATCTTCTTTCCAAACTTATGGTCAGCACGTGCACTTTCTATGTCCTCATGAATCATCTCTGCCTAAAACGCAGAATCAGAAATAGATTGGGGAAGGAAAGATGTAATGGAAAAATGCACGCAACCTGACAGCATTAATCGACTGCCCTAAATCTAGGTTTTATTGATGGTGTATGCCTTCAGTTTAAAAACAAAGTACAAAAGGGAAACATACAGGCACAGGGCATCAAGGAAATATTTCATGGGGCTTTGAGGGTTGCTAGCAGTGGAATTTAAACAGAGAGGTTATTCAGATACGAAGCAAAGGTTCCCTTCAATCCTCAAGTAAAGGTAATTTCTGGAAAGCTTTAAACTTTCAAAATTCAGCCAACAAATATATTGCTGTATGAATCATGGAGGGTGTTTTCCTGCTCTGTAAACGCGTCCTCTTTTAAGGACAGCTTTGCAAAACCCACTATTTCTGAAAACAGCTTCTTGTTTGCATTTGTTTTGGCAGAGGAGAACTTCAGTGTGGAGCTTCTGTGGACATGGAACTCTTCGTAGGGCTTCATCCTCCCTTCTCCAAGCATGAGATAATTGTGAAACTTTAAATATTCATGCTACAGGATTGCCCCTCTCTAGGTCCCTTCTCTGAAATCTTGCCATCTAGCTGGACCAGCTTTTTCCACAGCTGTCTCTATCTTGTGGGATGCTCCCCTCTCAGCTATCTGAAAGACTCCATCCTTTTAATTTTCTGGGTGGTCATCAAGACCTGGCTTTTTATGCAGGTACTGGGCTAGTGTGAAACTGTTTTGGGTGGGTTTTGGGGCATCCCAAGGAAATGACCAAGGCACCAAGTTAAGGTGTGTTTTATGGTTTTTATAGATCAGCATTTAATTTCTGTTGTGAGCTGCCCAGAGTTGTGTTTTAAGATGGACAGCCATATAAATCTTAAACATAATAAAACAAAATTTTAAAAAATGAGGGCTCTTCTCTATAACTCTAAAATCTAGACCAACCTTGCACTTGGAGGATTGGTTGGAACTTTAACTCTAGTGCAGGGGTGTCAAACTCAAGGTCCATGGGCCGGATCCAGCCTGTGATGTGATTGGATGAGGCCTGCGGGGCCGTCTTGGTCTACCCAATGTGAAGAGGAAAGATCAGGCCAGCCTGGCTTCAGCTCGGTCTACCCAATGCAAAGAGGAAACACGCCAGCAATTTGGGGAGTGGCGTCAAACTAGCCACGCCCACCCAGTCAGCCATGCCCACCTCCCCCCCCCCCCGAGGTCAACCACAGCTCTGATGCAGCTCTCAATGAAATTGAGTTTGACACCCCTGCTCTAGTGAGTCCAAGCTCTCATAACCCCATTTATCTCCTATTCAATAAGAACCGTTTACCTCCACTTCATCACAATTAAAGAAGTGAATGTCAGGTTTGTGCTGTTCAGAGTCTTGACACACCAACAGGAGGATGGAGGGATAGCGCATCTGATTCAGCACAGTCTGGCAGTGCTGGACTGTTGGCAGGAGGAAATCTTCGAGCTCTTCCTGAAAAGCAAACACCAAAGAGAATGTGGTTCAAATATACATAAAGGGATGTTCAGCTAGAGGCTGCATTTGCACATTGAAATGGCTCTTTGCAAAAGGAGACCATGAACACAGGAGCATTTGATTTGCCCTTAGGACTTGAAATCCATTAACAGCCACATACTCAACATCAGAGTGGCAACGCTATTGCTGACGCACATTATTCAGCAGGGACTGAAAGAAAGGAAGCATAATTCTTGGTACTTGTGATAAATTGGGACATACTAAGAAAAACTGATGAAGATACATAACTTTTTTGTAACCATCTGTTTACGTCTTGCCTTAATAATGGATTCTCTCAGAAAACAGAAAAGATCAGAAAATGATCTTTTTTTTCTACTTTTCTTTTTTTGTTCTTTTTTCTTTTTCACATTTATGTACGTGTTGTTTGTCTGTTTTAATTGTAAAATTAATAAAGTTTATTTAAAATAATAATAATAATGGATTCTCTCAGATGCCAACCAGAAAAGTTATCCATAACCCCTCAAAAGTATAGTTCTTTCAGCTTATAAATTTGACTAAGAGCTGATTGTGAGCATTATTTATTCCAATAAAATTGCTCTGGGCTTTCTAAAAGGTGGGCATAGCTCTTCATGTTTTAGTTTAACTTCATAGAAGTTCAGTATTTTATTCTGAGTACTACCTTAGAGTTTCTTTATTTCTTATTTGGAAAATAAAGTTAAAGACCAATTTTTTTTGTGGTGGAAATTAGCTTCATTCACACATCATATCAAGTACCATACAGGTAGTCCTCGACTTACAACAATTCATTTAGTGACCGTTTGAAGTTACAACAGCACTGAAAATAGTGATTTACGGCCATTTTTCACGCTTATGACCATTGCAGCATCCCAATGGTCACGTGATTTACATTCAGATGCTTGACAACTGACTCATATTTATTTATTTATTTATTTTTAATTTTTAATAAAGACAAACACTAACAAACACAAACATAAAACATCAACATAAAACCATCTTCCAAAATACAGTGTGTCGGTTGGTACATTTCTTTTGTGCAATGTTGTAATATCAACAGTCTTACCCTTCCAAACATACGTTCATATTTCATAAGTCAACTATACATATTATATTGTATTATATTGTATTATTATTATATCATCATTAGACTCAACTACAAATTCACATAATTCGTATCGAGCAAATCTCAGTTTTAACCAATCTGAGAACATACAATTCATTTCATTATATTCAATTATATAATATCATTACATTATATTATCTTGCATATTATACCATTCCTTTTTTATAACACATTTTACTTCTCTATTTTCTTATCTAACCACTGATAAAATAGATTCCAGATTTTGTAATATTCTTTATCTTCTTGCTCTTTATCTTTATCTTCTTGCTTCTTGCTAATGTCAATTTACTCATTTTTGCACATTCCATCATTTTCTTAATCACCTCTTCTTCTACTGGAATTTTTTCACTTTTCCAATTTCTAGCAAATACAATTCTAGCCGCTGTTAACACATTTATAATCAAATATGTCAATTCTCTACTGTATCCTTCAGGCAAGATACCCAATAAAAATATCTCTGGTTTCAAATCTATATGCTGTTTTGTCATTTTTTCAAGCCATGTATGAATTTTAGTCCAGTATCTCTTGGCTTCCACACACGTCCACCACAAATGATAATGACTCATATATATTTATGACAGTTGCAGAGTTCAGGGGTGATTTTGCGACCTTCTGTCAAGCAAAGTCAATGAGGAAGCCACGTTCACTTAACAACCCTGTTGCTAAATTAATCACTGCAGTGATTCACTTAACAGGAAGGAAAGTCGTAAAATGGGGCAAAACCCACTTAACAATTTTCTCATTTAGCAACATAAATTCTGGGCTCAGTTGTGGTTATAAGTCAAGGATGACCCTAACTAGACTAGTTTTTTAATCTGCTCCAAGTTTCTTTTCCTGTTCATTTTAGTTAGGGTTAGAAGCAGGAACAGAATACAAAAACGAATCATGTTGACCCAGAAGATCAGAAATAAACCATGTTTCCCCACTCATATTTCCTGTAAGCTACAACCACAATTGACAAGATAGTTGTTTATTATCCTCAAAGAAAACATGGGTTTATTTGCCTGTCTTGCTTGGACATAATACTAACCCAGGAACAAATAAATCACTCTGTGGTTTAGTGTAAACTGGGAGCCCAGATTTTATCATCATAATGCTTCCAGATACATTATCTTATTAGATCCAACCATTATATGGAAACTGTGGTCCAACCAGTGCCAGATCAGGGGAGGCTGGCTTGTATTATTATGTTTCTCACAAGATATTTAGCAGCGCAGCTCCTAAACTATCAAGACCATTTATTCTAATTGTAATGTAAATAACCTCTCTTGTCCACCACCCAATGCTTTGGCAGAACAGAAAGCGTTTCCGTTAATGTGCTATTCATCACTCTGCCCAGTCAGCTTGATTACATCCCTACTGGAATACAAGGCACCAAGACAACAAGGTGCTTGCCATGCACGTAGGCAGAAGAAACTGGGCAGACATTTGACTTTTTGTTGTGGTTGGTCTGAGCGTGAATTCTATCCAGCTTATTCTTAGAAATAGAATTTCTTGGAAAAGCCTGCAGCAATTCATCAGCCCATTGAGAAATAATATGCAATACGTTTATGTCAATCTTAATCTTTCTAATGTACGTTGAGCAAATTGCCTCATCATCACCCTCCAAAAAGAGGTCTTTGCTGCTCACCTGAGTTCCACAATCCAACAGTCGAATAGATTTGTCATTCACCTGCAGCAGCATTTCTTGGGCCCAGATCTTCTCTTTGGAGTTCAGCTGTTTGAGCTTCCTGACAGCGTCTTCCACTGTTACAATGGCCTCGCTTTTATCCATGATGAAGGTAGCCAGGTGCTGGAAATGGGGGGAACACCCCAAAAGGTCAAACAGGGACGATAAACAATTTAACTCCACAATTTGATTGTATTCATGGAGTACATGCACGTTCATAGAGACAGCTAACTCTGGATTCTACTGGTGATAAACAGCAGAAATAACACTTTGTGAATTATTTTATTAGTCAAAATGGCGAACATGCCTAATACTCCTTCCTCCTCCTATTTTCTCCACAAGAACAACCTTGTGAGAGGGGTTGGGCTGGAAAAAAGTGACCAGCCCAAGGTCACCCAGCTGGCTTTCATGGCTTAGATGGGACTAAAATTCAGTCTCCTGGTTTCTATCTTGGTGCTTTACACTAAACCAGGCTGGCTCTCTGATTCTGACTCTTCCCCAATTCTATGATGCAAATACTGCCAGTGTATAAAAGAAACCACTGCTATAGATTTGATGGTTTTGTTCATCAACAGGCTCTCAAATCTTGCTTTATAGGAGATAATTTGCAAAAGAGCTATGTGATCTGACAAGGCCAAATTTATTTATTTATTTTTATTTGTCAATTGCTTACAAGATAATAGGTATAAGTAAAAACATAAGTTATGAATACATGGATTCATATAAGAAAAATAAAATATATATAAAAGAAACAAAAGGACAGGGACGGTAGGGGGACTTCCGGTTTGTCGGCTTCGCGAGCGGTAGGGATTTGCGAAGCTGTGCGATCCCTGCCGCGCTAGCCGTTTTTGGGGCTCCGATCCGGACGGATACGGAGCTAGGCTGCCCTGCAGGGGCAGCTGAAGGTAGGGGGGATCCGGAGAGGGGTTTGGGGGTGTTGCAGACCCCCTCCCCGGCCGGCAGAACCCCCTTTTCCCAGGACGGTGCAGCGGCGGTCCGTAATGGCCACCACAAAGAAGCTGGCAGCCGGGTAAGAATGCGCAGGAGGAAGTGGAGAAAGTGTTTGGAAGGAGAAAGTTTTTCTTGGTTCCTAGGACTCTAAGACATATTTAACAAAATTCCTGAAAAGTATGACTTTCTGAATGATACCTTCTAAAAGAGGAAAAAAGCGGCAGTTTGATGGTGCTGAAAGGAAAGCTTACCCTCTTTTCCTATGGAATAAAAAGTGAATATTAAGAAACCTATTTTTTTTTAGGTGAAAACTGCTAAGACTTTGTTGGAGGAGATGCTTTAAGGATTGAAAGACTAAAATATATTGCAATAAGATTTTAAGAAACAGATTTGGACTTTCTTTTTTTTTCTGATTGACACTACCCTAGGAGGTGAAAGTGAGAACACTGCCTTGGTTTGGACTGATTGATAACTTTGGGACTGTTTTATCTTTCCTTTGGAATATTTTGGTTGCTGTAAGAAGAAAGAAGGGGAAAAGAAAAGAAAAGATTTATAATGGCTCTTTCTATTGAGGAACTGAGAAAAGATTATGAACAAGCAAAAAAAAATGGTAAAGCTGGTTTGAAAGAAGCCTTCCTTTTTTTAGAAATGGCGCTTATTAACTATCAACAAACATTACAACAGATGAAGACAGCAGAAGAAGAAGGAGAGGCAGCCATCTTTAATAAATCTCAGAACTTGACCAAGAAAGAAGGAAGAGGGGAAGGAAGAGAAATAAAGGACTTAAGATTTAAAAAAACATTGAAGAAAGGGAAAAATAAGATGCAAAATCAATATAATGATAGTAAACAAAAGGGAAAAGGAATACGACAGAGAAGGGAAGCCAGTAAGGCAGAGGCTAGAAGAAGGGGGGGTAGAAAGGTTTGTTGGGAGAAGAAAGAAAGGGAAAAGGTGGAGAAAAGCTACAAAGTTTTGAAATTAAATGGGAAAAAAGGAATCTTTTTTAGGGATAAAGGATAAAATATAATTTCTTCAAAGAGATTTTGCAAGGTACATAAGATGATATTGTAGTATTGTATTAGAAATAGAAAACTTAAATGGCTTAAGAGTTGATAAGAGATTAAAATGTTGAAATGTTTAATAATGATTGGTTTTAACATTTAATAATATGAGGGGAGGTTTAGTATTGAGTATTAATTAAAGAGTTTAATAAGATTATGGTATTGATGTTATTATAAAATTTTTATTATAGTATTTGTTTTTAATATTTAGATTTATTGTTTAACTATGTATTTAATTATTTTGGATGTATTATTTAGATAGAATGTACCAAGCAAAATCGGATTGGGTATTGGGTGTTATTTTAAAGATTAACTTGATTAATTTAGTGGGGAGATAGAAAGGCATCATACTCTGATTAGTGATTTCAGGAGAAATTTCTTTTTTTTTTTATAAGGAATGAGACAAAGGTACAATAAAGAATGGACAAAAGATACAAATATAATGACTCAAATTAAGATGATTAATTAAGATAGAATTAAGAAGAGTGAAATATGTGGAGAAGTTAATATAGAAGACTTAGAATGGTAAATAAAATAAGTAATGATATGTAAGATGAGCATGAATACAGTTGAAGTCCATGAAGAGAGAGATACCTGGGTCCAAGTTACTTTCCAAAAAGATTTTTTTTTATGTTTTGTGTGTTGTGGGTATATGTTTTTTTTTCTGGGGAGAATTAATAAAACCTTGTAGAAATATAGAATGAGAATAATGGTAACTAAGTCAGAAAGAAATAGATGAAATAATAATAATAAAATTGAATAAGAGTAAAGAGAAATAAAGAGAAATTGGATAAGAGGTTTTTGTATGTTTATATGGAAATGGTTTAAAACAGAATTATAGTTTATCTGACTTGTTAAGTTTATAATGGAAAAAGGTTTAAATATGTAATGGATAATGATGACTTGTGTGTTTTGAAAATTAATAAAACTTGTTTAAAAAAAAAAAAGGACAGGGACGGTAGGCACGTTGGTGCGCTTATGCACGCCCCCTACAGACCTCTTAGGAAAGGGGTGAGGTCAATAGTAGACAGTCTAAGGTTAAAGTTTTTGGGGTTTGGGGAAAAAAACCACAGAGTCAGGTAGAGTATTCCAGACTTTGACCACTCTGTTGCTGAAGTTGTACTTCCTGCAATCAAGTTTGGTGCGATTAACCTTGAGATTGTATCTGTTGTTTGCTCTAGTGTTGTTATGGTTGAAGCTGAAGTATTCATTGACAGGTAGTGCCTTGCAATGTATGATTTTATATACTATACTTAGATCAGACCAAAGGTGGCGTAGTTCTAGGTTTTCTAGGTCTAGAATTTCGAGTCTGGTGGCATAAGGTATTCTACAACGAGTAGAGGATTCTAGGACTAGGTCTTGTTTTGAAGAACTGTTAAGTCCTATATATTTAAACACGTGTGGTAGCCTTTAGTTAGTTCTTTCTCTTTAGTGCAGAGTCATTTATACTGAAACCACAAGAAGGCATTCAGCAAGCAATTAAAAAACAACAGCCAGGCATGATTGGACTTGTAATAATTCCACCTCAGCTCAAAACCTGTTGCCCTAGTTTAAAAGGGGGAAAAGCCCTCATTGACTCAAGATACTCCAACAGTTTGCTTTCTAGATGTGAGGATTTGCATACATGAGCTATTTTTGTGCAGGTCCTACTGATGATAATGCCAGGAGAAAGAACATTGTTATCAAACAGTGCAACAAAACATACAGGAAAGGGGGCCTTTTGTTAATCTCCATCTGCCTGCTGTTGTTGGCTGATGAAAAAAAGCTGTTCTTCCTTGGCTCAGGAAAAAAAAATCACACAATGTGCTCCCACTATGGCTTTATCATCCTGCAGAGGGAAGTGTAAAGACCCTTCAAAATTACATTAATCCATTCTCCTAAGAAACTCAATTAGGCCACCGTGCTTGCTGTGAAAAGGCCAGCTTCTCGGATTAGAAGTTTGCCCATTGTGGACCTCCTTCTCCTCATAATCCAGCAAGCAAAACACGCATTCACTTAATTTTGCACTCTGCTGACTTGACAAAGTTCTGGATAAAGTTATTTATCCTGCAACTGCTCTGCTCTGAAGAGGGAATTTGATAACAAGTCGGGACTATTTGCATCTCCACTGTGTTCCCCACTATTCCTTCCATCGTTTCTAAAAAGCCAGACCATCTCTTAAGGGAAAACAAAACAGCTGCAGAAAATCATACAGAGAAAAAAAGTATAACAGCTCTACTATTAGGCACTCCGTCACTGGAGGTTTTTAAGAAGCCACTGGACAGTCACTAGTCTGAGATGGTATAGGTTGTCCTGCTTGAGCAGGGGGCTGGACTAGAAGACCTCCAAGGTCCCTTCCAACTCTGATTCTGATTCTACTCTACTCTATCATATCTTTGGACGATGCTTTCTACTGCCAGGATAGTGGAATTCCCCACTCATACTTGCCGAATTCTGTCCATCTGAAAAGGAACAGTAAGATTTTTCCTGAGAGGTTGAAAACCTTTTTAGTTTCCTCAATCCCTTTTGAAAGCAAAGCCAGAAAACCAAGTTGGTTAATACATTTGGGCCATGTTTGTAAGTGGAGAAGTGATATTTATAAATTAAGATAAATTATTTTATCTTAAATAAATTAATTATTATAGCAGATAAATTATCTGCTACAATGTCTTACCAGTCAGTGACTGCTTCAGCTTCAACCACAACAATACAAGAGCACACAACAGATACAAACTCAATGTAAACCGCTTCAAACTTGATTGCTAAAAGTACGACTTCAGCAACAGAGTAGTCAATGCCTGGAATGCACTTCCTGACTCTTTTGTTACATCTTCTAACCCCCACTCCTTTAACCTCAAACTATCCATTATTGACCTCACCCCATTCCTAAGAGGTCTGTAAGGGGCGTGCATAAGTGTACCATCATGCCTCCCGTCCCTGTCCTATTGTCCCCATTTATTCATATCTATTTCCTGTATTCTTACTCATGATTATACTTATACCTATTATCTTGTAAGCGATAAATAAAATAAAATAACAAAATAAAATAAAATAAAATAAAATAAAATAAAATAAAATAAAATAA